CGGGATCCGATCATACGCTTTCTCTAGGTCCACAAATCACACGTACACCGGCTGGGCCTACTTCCACGATTTCGCAACAATCTGGCGCAGGGCAAAGATATGGACAGAGGGGCTTCGATCGGTCCGGAAGCCACACTGCTCTTCTTGGATCTTGAGGTCTATATTTCACGGCACCTCCTTTCTAACACCTTTGAGTAGACTTTAACTGGGAGGCTCAGTAACATAATGCCCCTATAATTGGAGCATTCCCTGAGGTCTCCGTTCTTGAATAAGGATAGAATACGTTTCTTAATTTCCGAGATCGAAAGAAGCATTCATGGAATACCTGGAAATAAAAGCACTTAGTCAAATGTGTTATTACGTGCTGTCATCATAAAGATAAAGATGAGAATCCTGAAGAAACGGTTGTCGCATCAGCAAAAACGAGGCACCTTCGATCGTGCCATGGCGACGAAATTTACCACAGCAACCGCCTGAACGGGTCTATTGCGATAAATGTCCGTCACCTCAACAGCTCAAAGGTTGGTTGCCATATGGAAATAAGACACACGGGTTGGGCTGGGCTTTTTACTGCCCGTGATTTTAGTCCTACCCGTGTGCCCAAACTACCGTTCCGCACGTCCTGCGCCATCGTAACCGACCAGTGTCATCCAACAGTCCTAAATAATCTGGAATCTGTCATAATGGAGTCTTGCCATCCCTTAGTCAGAACTGATACACTGGTGTCTGTCATGGTCAGCTAATGCTATTATCGACTGGAAATGATACGCTGAGAATTATGATGCCTACACAAAACGACTCATCAACCTCGCGCACCCTAGTAGTATTTCATGTAGCAATGATCAAACCATAGCGGACTGACAGTACATCACTTTTAACAAAATACGCATGGCCTGTTACATTAAGCTGATTTAGCGGAGTAAAGAATGGTTCTCGTTCTTCTGTAACGGTTAAATGGAAGATATGATATACGGATCAAAATCTAAATTACAGTCGTTTGTTTTGACAGCTTGTTAGAGTCAGAATGGAAGAGAGATGAAACCGAGTGAGGAAACCTTAGACACATCCAGCCAAAAACAAACTTTCGACTTGTCACTTTACGGATAGATCAGAGGCATTAGCCTCGTCCTATCGATGATCATTTTTTTGGGCGTGGGAAAAAAGATCAAAGTGTTCCGAGTGGTGACTTCTCACAGCCCTGCACCACCATGAGTCACGTGTGGCTGAGGAAACAGCACATACAACGTCGCAATTATGAGTGGGCAGTTAAACGAATCGAATCCGTGAAGCGAACAGTTAATGAAATGTGACATAAACTTATGCACCATGCCATTCAACTGGAAAACAGGCGACGAAATTTCTTGCGCAGTTTTTAAACACATAAATATAATGGTGCATCGAATGAGCACTCGTAGTTTTTTCAGTGATAATTGAAAGCTGAATAGAGTTCGGTCCTTCAAATCTTTCCGTCATTCCATCAATCAACTAGTCGACAATTCCGACGACTAGAAGACAAAATTCTTTACTGAAGCATCGAAAATGCACTTGGATTTTTTTAACCGTTCTTTCGACCTTAGATCGCTTTGTTTCCTCTCTGCAACAGAGCAATGTAATTTTTTGCTATTAATAGTATGATAATCGGGTTTAAACTGTTTAAAGATACTTCACAGATAATGGATGAGCGCCTAGTTATCTTAATGTCTGGAGCATCCGTCAAAGAGCACTATTTATAGCACATCGCTGAGTCATGAGGAAGAAGTCAGAAATGTTGCAGCATAAACGCTTGCTAACTCCAGTGGCCATTTTGATTTCTATCAGTGATCGAGCAATTAACACATCTCGTACAGTAATCCTCCCACTTCTTCTTATCCCATTGCATCGAAGACGACGCGGGGTGCCGTACAAGTATCAAATAAATGCATGCTCGCTTTTCATTCATTTCGATGTCATAACAGTTATAGCTAAATTTCACATCTTGCTAAAGATCTTCTTTACTGCTGCCTACCTTCAATTAGTATTCAGTATCCGCTCCGCTTCAGAAGGCGGCTTTTTTGATTAGCTGGCAATGGTACCAGCATCTTTAACATATTGTTTACAGATAATCGGTCACATT